GGTCGCGATACGGTTTCGGCCGTTGAACAAGCGCGAGCAAAGCGAAGATAACTACGGTGTCGACGAGGAGATGCGGTTGCAATATTACGGCGAGACCACGTTCGCGTTCAACGGCAAGGCTTACACGTTCGACCGAGTGTTTCGCGAACACGTGGATCAACGCACCATGTACGAGACGAGTATCCGTCCGTTGGTCCAGCGATTCGTGGAGAACGCTCACGACGCGACCATTATTACGTACGGCCAAACGTCGAGCGGTAAGACTTGGACGATCGACGGCGATCTTTACGAGTCGGCCGCATCGTCGTCCGCCGAAAACGCAGGACTTTTGCCTCGAGCGATTCAACAGATATTCAAAGAACGAGAAGCGGTCGTCGATGCGATCGAGTTTAGCTTTTATGAGATTTACTGCGAAAGAATTATAGATTTGTTGTGGACCGATCGGACAAGCGAACCACCAGAGATTCGTCTGTTCGACGATCGAAACAACGACAAGGTTTTCATGAAAAATCTCTGTTGGTTGCGGGTGGACGATGCCTCTTCGTTGTTCGAGCTGTTGAGACAAGCAAGAGATCGTCGTCATTACGCCAGCACCGAGATGAACGCCAATAGTTCTCGATCGCACACGGTGTTTGACTTGCGAGTGCACTGCGGTCGCAATAACTACAAAAACTTTCGCGTGGTCGATTTGGCCGGCAGCGAGCGTTCATCGCGAACCAAAGCCAGTGGCGTGGTGTTCGAGGAGGGCAAAAAGATTAATCAATCGTTGATGGACCTGCGTTCAGTTATCTCACAAATGTCACGCAACAAACCTGCGGCGAGAATCGCTCATCGTGCCTCGAAATTGACGCGTATTCTGTACGGTTCGTTTCGCGGCAAATCAAGGGTCCTGGTGTTGGTGTGTTGTAGTCCGGCGATGGACTCGCGCCACGAGACCACTGGCTCGCTACAGTTTGCATGTCACGTGAAACGAATCGCTTTGAGGTTGGACGATCTGGAGTCTGCCAAGACGACGGCCAAGCGCTCGGAACAACAATTCTCTGCTACCTACTACGAGGAACGCATCAATCGCATGGTGGCCGAGGCCAGAGAACGAGAGGAAAAGATCAACGAGTACGAACAACAAGCGTTCTCGTTGCGCACCATTATCGATAATTTGTCCAAACGTTCGGTTCCGATGGGCCGAGAGATCGGCACAAACACTACCATTGCCATGGAACAGCAATCGTCGACCCAAGTGTTGGCCTGCGACGAAGACGGTAGCAGCGAGCGATTGTTGATCCTGCTGGAACAAGAACGTGAGAAAAATCGAACCTATCGGCGGACCATCGAACAGCAACACCAACAATTAATAGCCAAGATTCACGACAACGACTCGTTGGACGAGGAGTTGCGCGTGCTCAGACTTTTGAAAGGCATGCTGTTGGATAGATTGTAAATTTAACGCAAAAAAAAAGGAAAGGAAGGGAGGTGTATCGCCGCTCGCGTTGGCGGCGGCGGCGGCGGCGGGAAGAGCGGTATTGGATTTTGATGGAAACGGTTACAGGCACAGAGCGAGATCGAGTTATCACTGATTGAAAAAA